AACTGGGTGATCACAGGCCTCTGCAGAGTTGGTCTAAGGACTGCCCCAATCAGGAGCTTTGAGAATGGGGGGGGGTCGAGGGGGTGTTTCAAGGGCACCCGCGCTGGTACCTTCCTTCCTGGGTCTGTTGTCGCGCAGGCCAGGAGGTCGCACGCCCGCCGCCGGGTGATCACAGGCAGGCAGGCAGCTGAAGAGACCCCCTCCGGGTTCTTTGGGGCCTTCCTGGTCTGTTGTCGCGCAGGCCGGGAGGTTGCACGCCCGCCGCTGGGTGATCGCAGGCAGACAGGCAGCTGAAGAGACCCCCTCCGGGTTCTTTGGGGCCTTCCTGGTCTGTTGTCGCGCAGGCCGGGAGGTTGCACGCCCGCCGCTGGGTGATCGCAGGCAGACAGGCAGCTGAAGAGACCCCCTCCGGGGTCTTTCCTGGTCTGTTGTCACGCAGGCTGGGAGGTCACCCGCCCGCCGCCGGGTGATCACAGGCAGGCAGGCAGCTGAAGAGCTGGATTATGTTTTATTGAAAGTGAATTTCTGTCAAAATTTTTTTTCCAGTACTGGGGATCAAATTCAGGACCCCATGCTTGCGAGGCAGGCATATGTGGTGCCATTGAGCCAAATCCCCGGCCCTATGTGAGAAATTGTGATTCTGTTTTGAGCCTACTTCCTTCATTACCAACCTGTGTTTTTTATTTTCATGCAGGTTGATGATCTTGCAGCAAAACTGGAAACTGCATCATCCAAATGTCTCCATCTGGATAAAAATAATGATTTTCTCCAACAGGAGTTATTATCTATGAAAAATATAGAAAAGAAATGTGAAACACTAGAGAAGAATGAAAAGAAGTTGGAACAAGAAGTAGTTAAAATGAGAAGCCACCTAGAAAAGAGTGTGGTAGAACATAGCCAAATAGAACAGTATAAACAGGAGATTGAAGAAAGAGCCAGGCGGGATTTAGTAGAAAAATTAAGACAAGTCAATCTATTTTTACAGGTTAATTTATTTAACTTTTAATGTGCTTAAATAATTTCACTAAAAATTATAATTTGACTGTTTACAGTATATGTATTTCTTCTACTTCCCTTATAGCTTTTGTGGGTTTTCTAGAGGGAAGATAACATTTTGTGTCTTTGATTAAATATTTCTGTTTCATTATAACTAAATTCATCTGTCAGAATAATGATATTTATTAGAGAATCATTTGATTTTTCAAGACTAAAGCACATAAAACTGTTAAGTGCAGAGTAAAACTTATGGTGTGACAGTTGTGTAGTACACTTAAATTGCTGTCACCTTATACAGTTTTTAAGTTTTTTAATTGTTTCTATTCTTTGATTGATCAGATTCCATAAGTACTAAGAATGATTCAAGACTAAGGATGGAGCTCAGTGGTGGGTGAAATGCTTGCCTTTTGCTGGGTTGGATCCCTAGCACAACAATGAAAAAAAAAAAAAAGATTCAAAATGTTTATAATTCAGATTTAATGCAGTTCATATCAGTGATAAATTCCAGGATCTTTTTCATATATATAAAATTCCTTTTTAAATCATTGGCTCAAAACTAAAGGAAATAATACAAAATAACTATGGGTTATGATCAAAACATACAGTGAATGTTTTAAATATTTATACATTTTTATCACAATAAAAAAACAGATTGCCTTTAGTCCCCCTCAAAATTCTTTCATTTTGAACATACTTGTCCCATCATTTTTGCCACTTTGTGAAGTACTCCTGGAGTCATCTTGTGTAAGCAGCCTTTATTGTGCTGTCCTGACTTGATGTCCTGAACTGATTCAAAATGTCCATTAGCATGGTGCCAGACCTGGTGGCTAATGTAGATGAGGACACATCATAATACTGTACTGGCCCTACCTTGCAGTTGGATGGCACTCATCAGTATTTATTGTTTTTTAATCAGACCTTGTAAAGATGCTCATGAAAGTGGCAAGAATTACCGGGTAAGGTGGTCAAAGGAAGGGGAAATATTTTGAAGGGGATTAATGGCATTGTGTTGTTCACTGTAATAAAATTTTTGACTTGAAACATTCACTACATATTTTGATCATCTTAAGTATTTGGGTTATAATTATTTTAAAAATATATTCTTTAATTTGCTTTAGACACAAGCAGCATCTCAAGAAAATTTACAGCAATTAAGAGAGACTAATAATGCTTCCATGAGAAGTCAGATGGAACTCAGAATTAGAGACCTGGAATCAGAGGTCTCTAAAATGAAAATTCAAGAAGAGACTAATAAAGTACAATTGGAAAAATATAGGCAACACTATCTAGAAGAATTAAATACTCGAAAGTCATTGTCCAGTAAACTAAACAAGTAAGTCAAAACAGAATCATAGAAAGTAGGTTAAGCTCATTAATTTGTGTCTAAACCATGATTTTTAGAGACAGGTTCATGAAATTAAGATATGAATGTTAAGTAGACAGTATAATTTTGAAAAATAAAGTTAATAAGTGAACTTGTCTTCAAAATGTTAGTATGAGGAAGTTTATTTCTTCCCCCTTTTACTGGTTTTTGGGTTTTCCAGACAAGATCTCATTTTGTAGCCCAGACTGGCCTTGAACTCACTATGTAGCCCAAGTTGACCTCCAACTCATGGCATTTCTCCTGCCTCAGCTTCCAGAGTGCTGGGATTACAAGTGTGTACCACCATGTTCAACTTGGTTTTAGTATTCTTATGTAGGTAATCTGATCTAATCATTCAGCTATTTTTGAAACTTTAAACTTAAGACAGTTATGTTGTTATTACATGTTGGCATTTATTTAAGTAGAATTATTGCTAACTTTACTTTTGGAAGATTACTACATAATACTGCTGTTCATCTGGGTACATAACTTTCCTTGACTATAATTTCTGGTGCTCTCACTTAGAGTTTGCCTGGAGATAAACTGTGCTATATATTTCTTCTACTCTACATAGAATCATATTTGTGATACAGGGAAAGATGCACTCAGGGATGAGCAGATGTACAGCTCCCTAATGTGAATTAGTATGAGGAGTGGGTAGAAGACAAAAGAGGTGGGGCCACCTGCATAGAGTGTCCAGCTGAGAGTGGCCCTGGTTCTTTGTGATCACTGAGCCCACAGCCTCCTCCTGGAGAGGTGGTTGTTTTGAATTATTTTCTAATTGCCAGATAATGGGGTGTATATGCAGGTGGGAAAGCAATCACTTGAAAATATCTTTAAGAAATGTTTTTTTTAAACCCCTAAACTGGTTAACTAAATGCAAACATTTCTAACTTTTTTTCAGTTTTATTTTTTAGTTATACATATGTTTCCTATATCTTTATGTTGTACAGACACACACACACACACACACACACACACACACACAGAAACACACACACACACGTACACACAAATATAAGTAACATTTTTCTGTTTTTTAATTTGGAGACAGAGTCTCAGTCACTAAGTTGGCCAGGCTTGCCTCCAACTTGTGATTCTCCTGCCTCAGCTTCCCAGAGTGTTTGGGATTATAGATGTACATATATATTTATATTTATACTGAGTGAAATGACTACTGCAGTCAAGCTAATTAACCTATCCATTATCTCTCATAGTGATCTTTTAAATACAAATATTTCTAGTATCTTCCTCAGGAATCTTGTAAGTAGAGCTCTTACAGGAAGCAGCAGTGTTTCCTATTAAGCCAGACAGCACTGAGCCATTTCTCTCTTCCTGCTTTGTTAGAATTACTTGTTAGTTAGGAATCCCACTACAAATATTTGTACTTCTTTAGAATAATTTCAGTTCTGTGATTGGTGCACCGTGATACATTTTCAGTGTTAAGATGATAAAGAAGTAATGCACGACAGGGCAGGCCTTTATCTGTTGCCAAGCCCCCAACCTCCAACCCATATTTTTGTCACAGAATGTTCTGTTCAAGTAGTATAACTGTCTGTACTGCACTGTGTTCCTGACCAATATATCAGTACTTCTGTTCAAGCATTGTAGCTTTTTGTGCTGCAAAGCATGTAACTATTTGTGCCTAAGGTTTCAAGAATGTTCTCTTAACTAACCCATGTGCCTCAATGAGCACACTTGCTTGAAATACTTAGTATTTGCCTTTTACAATCTTCCTAGGGCTAATGAGAGGCTAGAAGAGGCCAATACCAAACTTCTGGTGGAAAAACAACAAAACAGATCTTTACTGAGCACTGTTAGTACAAGACCTGTTCTAGAATGTCCTTGTTTCGGAAATCTTAATCATAGTGTGGTGTTCCAGAGAAGTTTTCTTCCCAGAGAAAACTTAGTGGTTCCTCTGTTAAACCCACAGCCTTCAAACAACAGCATGGAGAGCTACCTGACCAAGGTTAGTGAGAGTATCATCTTCCCTTTGTATCTCAGATTTCTGATTTAATTCTTGTTGTTCATTTGTTGAAATACTGCGCAGTGGAAGCAGCTCAGTGGTAGAGCCCTGGGATAGCATGCATGAGGGCATGGGTTTGATATGATGAAATACTGTGTTTTGTTAGTTGACTTACACATGCTAAGTAAAGATCACACTAATATGTGTTAATATAAAGAAATGAAACAAATTTATAATTTTTAAAAAGCCCCTGTAGCTCTCATTTTTCAAGAGATACTTGTTCACTTATTCAATAAATGTAACTGACCTAGATGTGGTACTAAAATATTTACAGTATAAAAATAACTGGTCTGATGGATGAGCATTGAAAGGAGAGTCAGAATAAAAGACCTGGGGAAATCCTATGGCTTCCTCATACATATTTTTTTTGACTTCTCCTTTTCAGAATTGTGATAACTGCATGAATTTGTTGATGTATGTAGACATACGTAGTACAGTGCCTAGATTTAGTATATTTCAAGTCAACGAAAAAGAAAGCATAGATATAAAGATTAGTCATCATCTTATTGCAGCTGCAATGAGGTAGAAGAAAATTAACTCCATCTGTACTCAAAACAGGTCATATAGATCAGGATCAACATCATAGCTTTGTTGTTAGGACATAACTCATGGGGAGATGTGGGTGTGTGAGTGCCTCAAGGATCACACACTTAAGCACACGCTTGTCAGTGAATTAAACAAGGTCCTGGCATCTATCCCAGCAGTAGCTGCTCACTGCAGTGACAGGAGACCTGATTTCATGTTGCGAGGATGTCCCTGCAAGAAGCCTAGGGTGCTGCATTCCCCATCACCCTTTGGGAGCTACCACTTCCCAGAGGGAGGCAGATAGAGTATAATCCATATGGCGCGTCCCCTTGTCACTTCTGCCAGGAATAAGATTCAAATTAAGCCATCTCTTTGTATATCTCAAGTCATGATGAGAAACAGATGGTAAAGAAAAAGCTGCTTTGTATTTTTAATTTTGCTATAATTTATAACACAAAACATGGATAACTCATTTGTCAGATTATTTGAGTAAGCATGATTTTCTCCTTCAAGTTCCCTGTTCTATGATTTTTCAAAATCCATTTAAAATTTAGTATATTTAATGGCTACTAACAATCCATATTAATTTGTATGCTTTATCTATATTTATAACCTTAGAACTCAGTTTATTAGAGAGCTAGTGCTTAACATCTCATGTTGAACATTATTGAGTTCCATGACAGTTTTACATATTTTTTCTAAGGTGATTTAAAAATATATAATCTTTCCTGAATGTGAGAGAAGCAATTGTATAGAACTCCAGGCTAAGCAAGATGACTGTGAGCCCTTTCCTCCCTGACCCTTTGGCTCTGTGACTTTGGCCAAGTTATGATCTATCTGAGCCTGTGGTGGTGCATGTGTCAGATGAGGGACTTTGACTTTCAATACTTGCTAAAACAATTTTTCAAGTAGAACTTTTTTAAAGGAAAAATAATATTTGTGTGAAACTGTTATATGAAGCAGAGGTACAACTGTGTGGCTGAAGACGGGGTGGAGGCTTTAGAGGGGGACTGCACTGTCCTCAGTGGAACCTTAGATTTTGCTGACATAGTTTAAAAACCAGGAGCTGTCAGAATTTTCTTTTTCTTTTTCTTTTCTTTTCTTTTTTTTTTTTTGTACCAGGGATTGAACTCAGGACCTTGCACTTACAGAGGCAGGTGCAGTGCCACTGAGCTAAATCCCTGGCCCTAGAGAATTCTAATAAGCTAAAATCCATGATACACTGTTCTGTGCACAGTTCTGTTGCCTTATGTTTTTGGAAATGGAAAGTATAAAAGAAGTTGCAGACTTTCTTCCCTCATTAAGGCTGGACTCACTTTCTCCAGCCTTGAAAGCACAATCCCTACAAAGATGTAAACAACAAGCTACACAGAAAGAAGGGTGTTTTCACACACACACACACACACACTCGTGCGCACACTCACACACACATATATGTATCTTCACAGAGTTAATATACCTTTTGATTTAGTAGTAAACATTAGCAATTTATCAGGCTTTTTTATTTCTCCTGGCAACATTCAGTTTCTGCTAAACTGTTGCTTGACACATGTCAGAAGCCTTTGGTGACACCCCAGCTAGCAGAATAAGATCAGTAATAGTGATTAGTGTCACTAAAACATTTTTCATGATATGTGCTAAGCACTGTAGTAAGCCATTCTACTGGAAATGACAATTCTGAATTTATATTAAGGGAAATTCAGGGAAACTGATTTAATGGGAAAGTGAGAATTCAAGGGACTTTTCTAAATTCACTAACTATATATATACATATTTTTTTCTTTCTTTCTTTTTAACTGGGGATTGAACTTGGGCCCTTGCGCTTGCAAGGCAGGTGGCAGAACCACTGAGCTAACCCCAGCCCATAAATTCACTAAATATTTGTCAGTTTTCACTTGTGAGCCAAATCATGCCAACATCCCACCAACTAGGAAAAAGCTGGAGCCTTCTGTTCTCAAGACCTTGAATAAGTTTTGGGAGCCACTTTACAGAGCAGCCCTCCCTCCCAGTGTCTTGAGTCTGTCCTTTTTCCCTCAAACCTTTCTTTTCTCTTCCTGAATATCAGTTGCCCTCAGCCATCATGTTATTAAGTACTCAAGTATGAGTGAAATGCTAGAATAGAATTCATGGAGGTAGAAGCCATTCGTGGCTGGAACAGAGACAGTTTCTGTCAGATCTTCTTTAAGAGGAGAAAAAACAGTAACTGTGGTTTAAATTTGCTGTACCACAAGTATTTGCTATCTAGAGGGTTAAAATGTCTTCATTACAGAACTGAGGATATTATTCAGTGGTAGAGTCCATATCCAGCATGCATGAAGTCCTAGATTCAAAACTCCAATACATACACACACACAAAGAAGAGTCTTATGAGTTAGGTCTAGATGTCCCCCCAAAGCCTTATGTGCCCATACGTGGAACTTTTTGGAGGTAGCTGGATTTAGGATGTGTGAACATGGATTAAGGATGTGCAGTAAGTAAATTAGTCCACCGATTAGTTTATCATAGTTGTGGATGTGGATAATGGGAAGACTCATCCTGTGTGTGGGTGACACCAACCAAATAGGTTTGGAGCCTGGATGGGATATAAAGGGAAAGATGAAGGCAGGCTCACAGCCTTCTGCCTACTATATCATGAACTGCTTCTCCTCTGTGATGCCCTTCTGCCTTGTAGCTAACTGACTCTGGGTTGAAACCTCTACAGACTGTGAGCTACAAACCATTCCTCCTTTAACTTTTGGGGTCAGGTATTTTGTCTCAGCAATGCAGAAAGTAAGATAAACAAGTAAGGAAAAGGGCAAAAAAGTCCTTCACACAAGTAAATGATCTTTTGAGGAAAGTATTTCACTTTTATCCAAGCCAAATTTATGTATTATAAGTTTTTGTGGGTGGAATATAAAGACATAAAATCTATTACCTATATGAAGTAAGTAAGGAAGGAAAGCACTTTTAGTTTTTTGTTTTGTTTTGCTTTTTGGTACTGGGGAGCGAAATCATGACCTTGCGCTATTGAGGTAGGCACTGTTGCCACTGATCTAAATCCCTGACCCTAGGAAAGCACTTTTGTAGGAAAAGATAATTACATTTGTAGTTCTTTAATTCAAGTCATGTAGCAGTATGATTTACATTTTATATAGTGTTAATCAGTGGTAATATAAGATCTTTTAATAAAGGCTTCTGCTTTCTTATGGTATTCGTTTGTTAGTTTTGAAACACTTGTCTAATGCTGTTGCTGCAGAAATGTTACAGAAAACAGATTTTTGAAATATTGGGAAACTTGTCAAAGAAACTTGTCTTCACACCTAAAATTCATAAAGGCATTAGATATGACATTATCATTGCTACCACAAAGTGTTACTATGTTGTGTGTGTTGGGTTCCACCCTGCTCAGAGCATTAGTAAGAAAAAAGCTTTTCTACAAAAGATTTCAGTAAAGCATGTTAGCTGGGGGAAGTGCAAAAGAGATTGGCATATTCCCATCCACTTCATAAATAGAAAAGTGTAATTAGTCTATGCTTCCAAAGAATAGACTCCTCTAACTTCTGAAAAGATAGCTAAGTTATAGTAAGAGCTGTGTATTGTTTTCCTTGTTTCCATTTCTAGAAAGTGATGAGCCAAAAAAGTCTGAAAACGGGCTCTGACCTATGTTTTTCCTTTTCAAGCAGATTTTCTGAAATTTGTGTATGTATTTTAAATATTTTGCCAATAGATTTTTTGCATGCCATTATAACAATACACAGTCTCCATTTCTGTATTTCACATTCTGTGCTAAAAATTAATAACACTATATGTTAAATTTTTAATTATTTTAAAAGTAGGGAAAAGTAGAGTTAACTTCAGGAAAAATCTTTTAAAGTGGAAAAACCTGATTAAAGTTTTATAATGGGAAGAATTTTGCTAACAATTATAAAATAGAGTAGGGGATGTAGCTCAGTGGGTGCCACACAAGGACCTGAGTTTGATCTCCGTTACCAAAAAATAAATAAAATAATACAGTCAGTATAAAATAAGAGCTTTATACTTCAATTTAATAAAACATCATCTTTATATTTAATAGACTGATTTTTTCTTTTTTTGACTTTAATTAGTACATTTTTGCCATACATAATGATTACATTAATTATAAGAAATCATGTGTACTTAACACGTTTCAATTCTTTTTTTCCCACCTTTCCTCTATCCACTTCTACTTTTGCCAGCATCGGATTCATTTATTTATAATTTAGAAAGTGAATTACCAGACAAACAGATTAAAAAGCAGACTAACATTGACCAAAAAATATGTAAAACACATGAGACAATTGTAGTAAGATACACTTTTAGATACATTATCCTTGCTGGATTACAGTAACTTCTTCTCTCTCACTTTTTTCCCTTAATAGACCAATATTCATTGTACTTATTAGATTTACCTTACAGCATTGCATATATGAATTGTCTATTATATAACCTTAACATTAAGTAAGAATTTTACTTATGTAATTTTTAAAGGATTCTTCAGGTTAGATCTCGTTTCTGTAAGTTTTAAAGGCCGTATTTTCTAAGTGATATATAACAATTCCCATGAAAATGTCTCTTCTTTAACTTAAACATTATGATTGATTTGTTTTAGATGCGGCATGAGTTGGAAAAAAGTATAACTAGAGAAGTAAGAGAAGGTATGTTCCCAAAATTTATGAATTAAATCTATATTAATCAACTTTTGAAATAAATCATACAAAACAAATGGCATCTCTTTCCTTTCATTGGGTAATGGAGCCTCCATTGAATGTTTTATAGCATCAAATAAAAGATGTGAAAATACACACATTTCCAGTAAAGGATACAATTTTGTATCCTCATTTTGTCATGTTCCATAATTTTAAACATCTCAGAAAGCTTGTGTATCTCTTTTCCCTGGCTCAGCACCCCACCTCCTGTGTCTCCCCTGAGACTCAGCTGCACGCCAAAGCTGTGCCTGAAAAGGAGGCCACCGCAGCTTCTCCACTTCATGGCTACAGTCTGAAGTCATCTTGGAGGAGTCAGACAATTGGAGCTCATAAACTGTTGCTTGACAAGTTTTGTTTTAAAGCTCCTGTCATTGATTTTGTCATTGGTTTACCTTTGGCCTCCAGGGGAGTTTTAAGATTCCTTAGCATGGAATAAAAATACTCAGATCACTTGGATTCTTGTCTCCTGCCATCCACCCTCCTCTGCCTCCCTGCTAGGAATCTTCTGTCCCCCTTCCTGGTGTGCTTTTCCTTTTACTTCCTTCAGGTGCCACCTCACATATCACCTCCACCCCAAATACTACATGAGTGACACAAAATGGATGCAGGTCTCTCTGTGAGTCCCAGCCATGCCACTTTCTACCTGTCAAAGCATCTGTGTGGATTCTACCTGAGACCTGTCTTTCCAGGTTACAATGTCAGTTTGGCCCCTGCATCATGATCTTATCCTCCCAGGGCCTTAGCGCATGGTCATGTCGGCCACATGATAGTCAGTTCAGTGTGCAACTAGAGGCAAATTATGTTTAGTAATAATTTTGTGTTATACTTGTACATATAGAGTTTTCATTACTACTGAACAAGTTCTCAATTTTTTGATAACATGTTTAGTTAACTGTGAAGTCTTTGAGATAAAGATTGTAACTCTTTTACTTTCCAGCTACTGCTGAATTTGAATCTGGATCCTTTAAAGTTTCTCCCATAAGATCTGCTAATAAATCAAGCCAAGATCTAATGTCAGAAACATCACAAGAATATCTGGAGATTTTAAGGAGAAGATACATGATCTGAAAAGATGCAGCATTTTAATTTTTTCCCATATGGTGTATGACATGAGAACTGTTAAAAGAAAAAACACTTGTATCATAGGTACATGATAAAAATTTATATACTACTTTAAACTGTTTGTTGACATCTGTAACTTTTAAGTGATATTTGCAAGTAAAAACCAGTGCCACTGAGTTTTATAGACTCAAACTTGCCAAATTCCAGCTGTATTTTTTCTCTCGGTACAGGGAATTCAACTCAGGACCTTACACTTTCGAGGCATCACTGAGCTAAATTCCATGCCCTGCATCAGGTATTTTAAATCCACTCAAACAACCAAGTTGTCGTTAGTACTTTATTGGAGTGAAATATCACTTCAGTGATATTTTTAAAATTTCATTTTCCCAATTTTTATCATTCTGTATGAATCTAGAAATTTAGACATCATTTTGGTATAATGATGCTTTAGCCACTGTGCCATCAAACATATAATTTTATTATTTTTTAATTTCAAGAAATTATTTTTGGGCCCGGTATGGTGGTGCACACTTATAGTCCAAGCACTCAGGAGGTTGAGGCAAGAGGACTGCAATGAGTTCAAAGTCAGCCTGGGCTACATGGCAAGACCCTGTCTAAAAACAAACAAACAAACAAAAAATCTGTAATTCTTTCCTCACAGAGAAACATTTGCTGTTTTTGTACCTTTCTGTGTTTTGGGGTCCCCTCCCAGAGATTAAACCCAGACAGCACTGACCTACATGCCCAACTGTTTTTTTCTTTTTCTTCTTTTTGGGATCCTGGGTCTTTATAAATTGCCCAGGCTAAGCTTTAACTTGTAATCCTCCTGCCTCAGCCTCCCCAGTAGCTGGGATTACCACACCTGGCTCTGATGGCTACAATACAAGCTTCACAATGAGGAAATTAACACATTTTATCACTTAGTCCTCCATAATGTCTCCAAGGTTTGCACCTTACGTGTTCTAGTAGAAGGATCCTATTCAGATCCACAGATTCCATTTAGTTTATATGTCTCAGTTTCAGTCTGGAACATTGCTCAGCAGATGCTGGGGCCACTGTGGTGCCCAGTCCATCACAGAGAAGGCAGGGAGAGGCCTTTTATCCCCAGCAGGAAGAGTGGGGATGGGACTCTGGTGTCGCCCTGTCCAGGTGGAAGACAGCAGGAGGCTGCACACAGGGCAGAGAAAAGATGTTCCCTGGGCTGCAGCTTTGTCCTTGTGTTCTGTGGTGAGGGCAGAGGCCACCTGCAGAAGACTTCCCACCCTCCCACATCCTTATTCAGGCCCAGGGGCCCAAAGAGGCTGTGGATACCAAGCCCAGGCTGTTGGCTGTGCTGTGCAGAAACATAGGGTACTTGCCATGTGGAGGAGGCTGAACACACAGATTTGAATGCCCACAGATGACCTCCAGCCGAGAGAACGTGAGCTCCTTCCCAGGATGACCCTGGGTGCACTGCACTCCTGTACATTAATCCACTGGGTTTATTGCTGAATGTTAACGAGGTAAGGCCTGGTTTGCAGATGGGAAGTTGCTGGGGTCGTGACCTGGTTTGTTTTGTTTTTGAGAGAAGATCTCACTAGGTAGTTCAGACTGGCTTTGAACTCATGATGATCCTCCTGCATTGGTCTCCTTTGTGCTGGAGTTACAGGTTAGCACCACCATGCCTGGCTGGAACAATACATTTTTGTCCCCAGCCTCTCCTTCCTTCCTCTCTCTGTTTCCTGGCAGCCATGGCGTGAGCAGCTTCTTTTACCATGCTCTTCTGCCATGACTCCTTTTCCTTGAAGTCAGACGGCCTTTGACTGAACCCACTTAAATCATGAGCCAAGTAAACCTCTGTTAAGTTGGAGGCATCAGGTATTTCATCCCAGCAAAGGAAGCTAACTCATACAGTTTCTCTGCCCTTTAGCTGTGCTCTTTCTAGAATCTCTTCCCTGAAATGCTGGGGGATAATTACAGATGTTCAAAATCTGGCATACATGAAGGAAAATCAAAGCACAAAGTAATAAATGAGTTAAAAATTGAAAACATTCAACTCAATTCTTAGGAATTTTTAAAGGAAGATGGAGAATACCTGCTTTTGAAATAGGATTTTGGTCAATTTTTAGTCTTTTTCATTAGCTTTGAGTTTCCTGATACTAGCTACCATGTATATATACCTCATACAAAGCAAACTCCCATGACTGCTTTATACCACACATGGCCTGTAATGAAGCCCAGGTGAAACAGACCCAGAGCTAGAACACTGGGCTGATTGGCACTCTGAACCCAGCAGACCCGAGGGAGGCCCTCTGCACTGCCCATTTTCCATCCCTCCCTGCTCCTTCCCCTCCCTTTCTCCTTTCCCTTTCTTTTTCTTTTTTAAGTTTAAATTGAATTTATTGGTACATTCTAGGTAGACAGTACAGTTAACATTCATTACTGGGATCTTGTACCTTTACATGCCAGGTCTTGGTTCTCATTTTTTCCACTTGTTCCCACCCTTCCTTCATCCCCTTCTCCCCTCCCCACCTTCAAGCCCTTTAATTCCATTTTTACATTTTCTCATATTTTTTTTTCCTTTTCCCTTATTCCCCCTTCCCTATCCTCACTGTCCCTACACCTTTGGTCCTTTTCTTCCTATTTCACATTGCTAATTGTCCCATTAGGATCTTGAGTATTATTTTTGTTTTTCACACCAAAGAAACTATTTGCATATGTGTGATTTATTTGTTTTACTTAGGAGTATATCCTCAAAATGTACCCATTTACCTATGAATGAATCTACTTTCTTATTCTTTATGGCTGAGTATTACTCCATTTTATAGAGAAACCACATTTTTATTCAGTTTCCAACTGATGGGCAGATGGGCTGTTTCCAAGTTTTAACTATTACAAACTGTGACACTATAAACATGGGTGTGCATTTGTCACTGTGGTATAATTCTTTTAATTCTTTTGGAAAGATACCCAACAGAGGGATGGCTGGGTCAAATGGAACCTCTAATCCTAGTTCTTTGAGGTATCTCCATATTGACTTCCATAGTGGTTGCACCAGTCTGTACTCCCACCAGCAATGGAGAAGGGTTCCTTTCTCCCCACAACCATGCCAACATTTGTTATTGTGTGATTTCTTGATAGCAGCCATTCTTTGTGGGGTGAGGTGAAATCTGAGTGGTGTTTTCATCTGCATCTCTCGAATGACCAGTGATGTGGAACATTTTTTCATATATTTACTTGCTGCTTTTATTTGTCTGAGAAATGTCTGTTCATTTCGGATGCCCATTTTTGGATTGGGTCTTTATATTGGGGGGGCTGGTTGTTTTGAGTTCTTTATATATTCTAGATAATAGTCCTTTGTCTGAGGAGCAACTGGTAAAAAGTTTTTCCCACATTGTAGGTTGTCTCTTAGTTCTGTTTAAGGTTTCTTTTGCAGTGCAGAAGCTTTTTAATAAGATAAGATCCCAGTTGTTGATTCTTTCTGCTAGTTCCCATGCTACTGAGGATTTGTTGATAAAGTCTTTTCCTATGCCAATGTCTTCCAGAGTTCTGCCTAACTTATCTTCCAGCAAGTTTAGTGTTTCTGCTGTAATATTTATATCTTTAATCCACTTGGATTTTAATTTAGCGCATGGTGAGAGATAAGGATCTAGTTTTAATCTTTGGCAGATTGAGATCCAGTTTTTCCAACACCATTTATTAAAGAGGCTGTCTTTCCTCTCCTTTCCCTTTCTATAGGGCCCTGCTCTCCACCCCATCCCTTTTTGTGCTTACCCCTCCCTCTGCTGGTGCATGGCAGTGAGGGCAAGGCAAAGGGACCCACTTGGCCTTGGCTTTACTCTCTGGTACCCACGTACTTTGGCCTTTGTGTAGAGCCCTCTGTTAACTGCTTGGAAGGAAAATGCCAAGTCCTTCCAAAGCTAGCAGCTGCCTTTTGAAGCTGTCCATCCCACTTGCTTCTGCTGTGGGAGCTCTGCACAAGTGGTGCACAGGTGTGGACCACAGTGTGGGGTGCAGAACTTGTCCTCCCTGGACCTCCAGGCAAGGGAGCCCTGCAGTCAGTGGCACCTCATCTCTGCATCCCTCAGCTCTTCATGTCCTGCCTCACTGCACTGGCGTGGACAGTGTCCAGAGGGTCAGCTGAACCACATGATTTGGAAGAAATGAATTTCCATTATTTCCTGGACTTGCAATTAAAACATGAAAGTAAAGAGGCCAGAAAGTCTACTATTCTCAACAGTGATTAATCTGTACCTGAAACTATCCCTGAAACGGAGTGGTGATTGGCAGATAAGAGAAAACACAGATGGGACGAATTGTACGTTGATAGAGGAAAAATCCCAGAAGTGAGTTGTCATCTGGCTTCAGGTGAGTGATGTACTCACATAGCAGCTCTGCTTTCTTTGTGAGCTACAGCCCTGTGTGGGGAGGAGAGTGTCCCTGAGGGAGCAGGCCAGCTGTGCAGCCTCCACTCAACACAGCCCTCCCCAATCCCACCTCAGGTCCAGCAGACATGAGCCCCCACGAGGTCATTCTCTGTGTCCTCAGGTGGTGGCAGAAGATGCCAGCAAATCCTGATGGCAGCTGCTTCCCATCCTCAGTATCCACATTGTGGCACACCCTCATTGAAGTCTCGGAGGCCAGAGGGTGGGTCTCTTGTCACGTAACCTGTGGCAAAAGAAAAGCAAAAACAGCTCTGACTTCATGGGTACCCAAGCGAGAATCAGGGTGAGTCCCAGGAGGCAGACAGTTGTTGGCATTGTCACTTGTAGCCTTATAAAACTAACCCCCCGCAAAAGCAGCCCCTGAGGTCTTTAAACCACATGAGTGACTGGACATAGAGGGAAACTTCCCTGAAGTGGAAAATTTTACAGGTCAGAGGAAAAGCTAGCACCTTCTCCTTTGGTAACATATATTCCTTGCTCTGTACTTACGTGTATGACCTCAGCACTTCTGCAATAAGTAAACTTGATTTTTTTATTCAAAAATCCCAAGGTACTAAAAAAAAATCCAGAAATATACAATTAGTTTTCATAAATTGATAAAAAAATAATAGTATGCCACTGACTTCTAAGGAAAAAAGTTTCAAAGTACCCATTTTCAGTAAATTCTAGAAGAGGTGACAATACATGAGAACACTAGGCCTGGATGAATGAAAAAGGATTTTAATCAGATGCCCAGCTACACTCAGAAATCAAACTTCCACTTTATCTCTAGAAGCACTTCTAGACACACATTATTGTCTTTAGAAAAAGGGCAAAAACTACAGCAGACAGATGAGTGAGGACTGAAGAGCTAGCACGGAAGGAACAGCATCTCAGGCTACAGCCTAG